CCGCGCCTGCGAAAAGGAAGCGCGTACGTCAAATCACCGATAATGGTAAACACCGCGGTCGCGCGAGAGGAGATACACTTTAGTCCCGATAATAACAAAACGACTATTTTTCTAAAAGTAAATAATTACACTAAACGCTCTTTCGACCTCAGCCAAACGATAGAATAAAGAGAATTGTTCTCGACTATTCTAGAAACACGGGCCTATAAAAACCTCCTCTCTCGTGATCGCAGCGCTCTTTTCCGATTGCTCGTCGCGTCAAGAGTGTGTTTCTACTGTACGAAAAAGATCGCTTGTCTTTTTCATTTTACCACTTTTAATTACCGTTGCTTGCGGAACATTTAGTTATTAATTACCGACTCGGCTATTTCTTTTGGTTTATTCTTGTCAATCAATTTTCGAGAAATTTCCGTGCGGTTTCAATACTTGTATTTTTCTTTGTTTTAGTCTTAAATATAGTTTTATATTAAACGATACGTGTGTGTCAAGTGTAGTGCTTTGCCGTCTTCTCGCTTCCGACCTTCCGATCCTGCCTTCCGTCGCGCACATTATTTTGGTCCTTCGAGCCGGATCCTCCAGAACCTCCTGTGAATCCGGTGCCACGGAAGCGTAGAGTTTATCAGTGTAGTGACTAGTGCATCTGAAAGTAAGACAGTGTCAGAGATGGCAGACACGACAACTATAATTACCAACGCCACCGCGCTATATGGCAAGATCTCGCGCGCATACGATAACCTTCGGAAGCTTGGCGAGGCCAACATCACACTCGGTGCGGTGGAAGCCCGGCTTCTGAATCTCGACAAACTGTGGGAGAAGTTCGATGCGATGAATGATATCTTGGCTGAGCGTGTAGACGAACTAAAACATGACGTCTATGCTAAACAAGACATACCTTCACTCGGCGAGGAGTCTTACCTAGTGAACAAGGGCCTGATGTTGGAGATGCGGCGTACTCTCCAGAAAAAGGAACGCGCCGCTGCTTCTGCTACTTCAGAGACATCAACATCGGCGCCTCGCACCACGCTACCTCGAATCCAGCTGCCGACCTTTACGGGAAGATACGAGGATTGGCCGGCCTTCCGAGACCTCTTCGTCTCCCTCATCGGTCAGGATAAGACGACGAAGCCTGTAGAAAAAATGCACTACTTGAAGAGCTGTGTCAAGGGCGAAGCAGATCTTCTCATCAGAAACCTCAGTTCTACCGAAGCTAATTACGAACGAGCCTGGCAAACTCTAAGCGACTACTATGAAAATAAGCGCTTACTAACCCGCTCTTATTTAACAAATTTTTTAAGCCTGCCAAGGATAAAGGGAGAATTCGCTGCTGAGCTTAGAAAGATATTCCATGGCATTAAGACTACGGTCAGCTCGCTGACGAGCATCGACCGGCCGGTAGGAAGTACTGAGGATCTCTTTGTGCACCTCGCCGTTGACCTTCTCGATAGTCGCTCTCGCCGCGAGTGAGAGACCTCCATCAGTGAGACAAACAAACCTCCGCCATACGCTCTGCTAGAGCGATTCCTTGAGCGACGTCTTCACACTCTGGAGTCGTTACCCTCGACGAAGATCGACGTCTCGCCCAACAAAACCGGCGAAAGTCAGTCGAAGTCGACTCGTACCCACCATGCTCGTAAGCAGGACTCAAAAGAGCCCAAGGGAAACACCAGAGGACGCTGTTCAGCCTGCCAGGGTGACCACTTCGTGATGCTGTGCGACACTTATAAGAAAATGACGGCCTCAGAGCGCAAGCAGCACGTCAAAGGTAACGACTTGTGTGGAAACTGTCTCGGCCGACACAAAATCAAGGATTGCGCCTCCAAGAAGAACTGCTCCGCGTGCAATGACCGGCATCATACCTCACTCCATGATGCCTACCGCTCATCGGAGACTGTCAAAACGTCGCACGTCAGCAAGGGACCGTTTCCGACGCCTGTAGCTGTACTTTTGGCCACGGCGCGCGTTCGCGTATGCGATCGCTATGGTTCCTGGCAGTCAGTTCGCGCCCTCGTCGACCAAGGCTCGGAATCCTCCATTGTATTGGAAAGGCTCACCCAACGATTGAGGCTAGCACGGAGCTCCGCTTCGGTTTCAGTGTATGGAGTCGGCGGGAAAAAGACAGGCGTCTCAAAGGGTAAAGTGGCACTTACCCTCCAGTCTCTTAGTGGCTGCCCTTCCATCACCGTCCACGCTCTGGTGCTGCCGAAGCTGACCATCTACGCCGGCGGCTACAACGGCGGCGGGCAAAACTGGTCTCATCTTCAGGGTCTGGAACTCGCGGACCCTGATTACCGCTCAGCTGATCCGGTTGACATCCTCCTTGGCGCGGACGTTTACGGTTCAATCCTCTGTCAGGGCCTAAAAAGGGAAATCGACATGAACCAATAGCTCAACAAACTACGCTCGGCTGGATACTGTCAGGCGTTGTTGGGGAGACGACTACCGGACATCACGTTCACACTCACCAATGCCGAATTGAAGACGACGTCTCTATCCTGGTGCGTCGCTTCTGGGAGCAGGAGAAGCTTCAACGGCCTTTACAACTCTTTTCTAAGGCTGACCAGGAGTGCGAGGATCACTTCCTGCGACATCACACTCGTACAGCCAACGGTCGATATGTGGTGAGACTGCCGACGATCGAGCCTCTGCCTGACCTCTCAGCCACTCGACGCGCCGCCAGTCGGGCCCTGCAACACGTCAGCAAAAAACTAGAACGAGAAAGTACCTTCCGCAGCATGTACGTGGATTTCATGAAGCAATACTTGGACCTCAACCATATGAAGCCGGCTCCCCTGTCGACTACTGGATCTCTACAACGAACCTGCTACCTTCCTCACCACGGGGTCCTGCGCGAAAGCAGTGCCTCTACTAAGTTGAGAGTGGTCTTCAACGGTTCGAGCTCCTTGGCCAACGGCGACTGTCTCAACCGATTTCTGATGACGGGACCCAACCTGCTTCCTGCCCTAGCTGACATCCTACTACGGTGGAGAAGGCACCGGTACGTCTTTGCTACCGACATTGAGAAAATGTACCGGCAAATCCTGATACATGCCGATGATCAGAGCCTGCAAAGGATATTATGGAGGAAGGATTCAGAGCTCGAGATCAAGGAATATTGGCTGACTACAGTAACTTACGGCTTAGCCTGCGCTCCATATTTGGCCATCCGCACGCTGCACCAGCTCGCCGTGGACGAAGGCGATCGTCATCCTGAGGGAGCCGCGGTCCTCCGCTCCGACGTCTACATGGACGACATCCTGTCTGGAGCTTCTACCCTCCAGGAAGCCAAGGAAATCCTTCGACAGCTCGTTCTGGTCTGCAAGGCGGGAGGCTTCCCTCTGAAAAAATGGTCAGCTAATCACCCTCAGTTACTGTCTACATTACCTACCGAAGACTGCCTCCAGCAAGAGGCAAGATGGTGGTTGCCTGGGGAAAGTCATGCCACTCTGGGATTACGGTGGCAACCTTGCGACGACCTCTTCTCCTTCGCCACCAGCCAACCAACGCTGTCCACGATCACAAAGCGGTCAGTTTTATCGTTGACAGCGAAGCTATTTGATCCGGCTCGGTTGGCTGTCTCCCACGACTGTTCTCGCCAAGAGTAATCCAGTCTACGTGGTTACTCGGTATCGACTGGGACACTCCTCTTCCGGACGATCATGAGAAGGCCTGGTTACGCTTCCAAGCGGAGCTCCCCCAACTGGAGAGACTGCACGTTCCTCGATGGCTGGGCGGAGGATCGACTGACTGCCGCCTGGAAGTTCACGGATTCGCTGACGCCTCAGTCCGTGCCTACGCTGCTGTGGTGTACCTAAAACCGAGAAGAACGGGGAGTATGGAGTTACGCTGATTGCTGCCAAGACGAAAGTTCCGTCCAAAACAAATTTCCTTACTCGGCTTAATTATAACTCTTCTGGTCCGCCTCGTTCAGCAAACGCTGCCTCTCATCAAGGCTGAAAGGGCGCCTCTTCATCTCTGGTCAGACTCCACGGTGGCTCTCGGCTGGATCCGTGGACATCCTTCTTCCTGGGTCACATTCGTTGCCAACCGGGTCAGCGAAATTCAAACGTCGCTCCCCGACGCCCTTTGGCATCATGTCCCTGGACGCGAAAACCCGGCCGACTGCGCCTCTCGAGGCATCTTCCCTGGAGAGCTTGAGGCGCATCCACTTTGGTGGCAGGGTTCCTCTTGGCTGAAAACGGAGAGCGGCCCTTGGACTGTCTTCGGAGATGATCCCAGCAACGTCGAGCTACCCGAACGTCGAGCCCGTTCGCACGCTACAGTCTTGGACAAGCAAGGAGACGAACCGGAGCTGCTGCTCCGGTACTCTTCCCTGCAGCGACTACTTCGCATCACCGCCTGGTGTCTCCGGTGGTTACGACAACGCCGACGGCAGCCCATCCTTCTCAATCGCGACGGCGGGGTAGACGCTGAAGAACTTCATGACGCGCTGATCCACTGGATACGGGTCGTCCAAGCTGTAAATTTCAAGGATGAATTAAAATCGTTGCGAGGACTGAAATCACTACCCAACGAAGCCCACTCAATAAACTCAGCCCGTTTGTGGACGATTCGGGCGTTATTCGCGTCGGAGGGCGTCTACGACATTCTCAAATGTCTTTTGAGGCTACCCATCGTCCTCGTCCGTGCCGACCTCGTCGCGAGCACCTCACCGACGATTGTTGCATGGGGGCACCCAGCTGGGGTTCCATCCGTGAGAATTCTGGATTCCTCGTCAACGATTTCTCGTCAAAAACCATTCCTCGCGTTAGATGCCTGCGATACCGTCGGCTACAGCACAGCCTCTTGGGTACTTGGGCACAGAGTTCATTTGAAGCCCCTGAGTGACGCGAAGACGCCCGACTGGCGTCGGCCGGAAGTGCGAGTGCCACTGCGGGAAAATTTTCTAAAGTTTATTTGGCACGTCCATTTGATGTCGCCTCGGACTACTCGGCCGACGCTTTCTTGGCATCCTTGCGTCGGTTCATAGCTCGGCGAGGTGTATGTCGCTATACAGCGACTGTGGGACCACCTTCATAGGCGCCGACACGCTCCGAGACTTATTCTCAGCCGCAAACCCTGAAGGACGTCGCGTCGCCTCCTTCGCTGCTCAGGAGCAAATTCAGTGGCGGTTCAATCCGCCGGCTGCGCCCAACTTCGGAGGTATCTGGGAAGCGGCAGTCAAATCGATGAAGCACCATCTTCGCAGAGTGATAGGAGATGCTACACTCACCTACGAGGAGATGGCCACTCTCCTCTCCCAGGTCGAGGCTTGCCTCAACTCTCGGCCGCTGCAACCGCTAACCGACGACCCGGAGGACTTCAGTGCGCTGACACCCGGCCATTTCCTCATCGGCTCCGCGCTCTCCGTCGTCCCCGAACCGTCGCTGACTGAAGAATCGTCGTCGCGCCTCTCCTGGTGGCAGCTTCTACAACAGATGAAGGATCATTTCTGGTCCCGATGGTCCCGCGAATACCTACACACGCTGGCTCATCGGCCGAAATGGTTCAAAATAAACCGGGAAACTCGCGTCGGTCGACTCTGTTTGATACGTCACGAAATGACCGCGCCAACGAGGTGGCCGCTAGCACGCATCACCAAATTGCACTCCGGAGCCGACGGACACGTTCGCGTCGTCGAGGTACGCACCGCCACCACTGTCTTGACGCGACCCGTTGCCAAACTCGTTTTTTTTCCCGACGCGGACGAACCGCATCTAAAACCACAAGCGATGTAAATTCATCAACAATTCATTTGCACCGTTCCTCACTACCTCACATCAATCATAACTACATTCCACTCACTGCTCCACTCTTTTCATCGCTGCAATCTTCTTATCACTCAACTATTCGTTTCATTATTCAATCACGGTTAATATCACACTCGAAATTGTCGCGTATCTCAATGCCTTCACCGGCATGCATCTATCCTGCTGCCTCGAAATTCGAGTCGATTCAGCCACCTTGAACGAGCGTGCGCTCACGTGTTTTCCGCGAGAGGGACGGCTCGGCTCCACTTCCACATTACGGTATTACCGTTGCAAGGCGGCCGGAATGTTCGAGATTCGAACGTTTAAAAAACCTGCAGGATTAAGAGCATTAAAACATCATTGCGTTAAATTCATGCAGCCGTTTCAATCCCATGCAACATGCATTCATGCATAATTTTTATAACTCAAATAGCGCTCGGCCGCACTGGTATACGTATAACCCGCGCCTGCGAAAAGGAAGCGCGTACGAAAATCACCGATAATGGTAAACACCGCGAGAGATTTAGTCCCGATAATAACAAAACGAAATAAATAATTACACTAAACGCTTTCCGCCGAACGAACATTAGAATGTTCTCGCATTCAAAACTATTCTAAAAACCTACGTCTCGTGATAAATCGCTCTTTTCCGATTTTCGTCGCGAAAGAGTGTGTTTCTGTACGAAAAAGTGCGGTTAGGACCGTGCGATCAGCACAAAGTTTTCAGATTCACCAAAATAAATAAAAACGAACGGCGAGCCGCCGCCGATTAATTGGTTTGATCTAAAAGACGTCCTTTCATCTTTTACTCACCTATTTTCTACCACGAAAGTTATCCAAGAAATGTGGGTACAATTTTTGATCATAACAAATTTAATGAGCCATCGCGGTTTGTTTTTCATGTATTAGCAGCCACAACTCCAAGTAAATGTTGAGAATAACATATGACTATTTTCAGTTCAATTAATCGGCTGTGCATGGTTAATCAATGAGAACTGACACGAATCAACCAAGCTTCTACTCGCAAGGGAGTTTTCGCGCGCGAAGACTCGTCGCTATGCTCTTTTTCGCGCGCGCGCGCGTTCGATGCCGAAACACCGACGCGCGCGCGACACCTCGTATTTTATTTGCCGCCGGTCTTGTTCAGCCGGTCGGCGACACTCTGCTGTGTTTAACGCTATTATGTAAAGCGTACGAGAGAACGACGGAGGCGAGAGTAAACCCCAGACGCCGCCGCCTCTCCTCTTCTTCCTCCTCCTCTCCGTTCAAAAATCCACAAGATCAAAATACTCGTGTTCTTATTCTCCCAAATGTTATGATGCGCGGTCTCGAGAGACCGCGCGATTCACCCTGACGCTAGATCGACGATGGCGATGCTTAGACGTCGAGGACTGTTCTGTCTGGTTCGTACGCGTTTAACCGCACACGACCAGCAATAAGATTTCGCTACGGCGTACAAAGCGAGCGGGAAGAAGCAACTCTTCCCGCAAACTCGTATCCGTGGAGTAGATGCTCGGTAAGCGCGACGATTCCGCTGCTGCGTACGAAACGAGAGGGAACCGCGCGGCCAACACACTAGAGGCGTGCGCGCCACATAAGAGCCATTCGGTCTTGCGACACCGACTCGTGGCAATGCTGTGCTCGTAATAAATAAGTGTGCGTTAATTTTGCGCGCGTTCGGCGACGAACGAGAAGAGCCGCACCGTAATCCCCGGCGAAGAGGAATACGAGACGACGCGAGAGTCGAACGTACGTTCTCGCGAGACACGCAACCTCCAAGCATGAGAAGACTTGGCGGCGGCGCGTTCTGCGACGATCGTATATTATTTTATATATTCGTGGTTTCCAAATCAAACATTTTATATAAATGTTCTCTCCGTGTCAGAGTCGCGACTCGACAAAATCCGTTCTCGACCCGTTCGGGCGATTCTTCGTTTGTCAACGTCGAGAGCGCGACACGTACAATATTAATCTCTCCTACCTCTTATAGTACCCAACCGACCGGCCAAGCGGTCGGCGACGGTACGGAGAGCGGTCGAAACACGCCGGAGTGGCGAGAGACTCGAGAAAGTACGTTTACGACTCGTCCGGACTCGCTCGACTCGTTCGACGCGCCGAGCGCGACGTATCTCTTATAGTACCCAACCGGCCGGCCAGGCGGTCGGCGACGCACGGTCCTACGCACGGCCGTATGCGAGCGCGAGCGCCGAAAGGCGCGTTCAATCGAGACATTGTCGCGGAGAGCGAACGATCGAAAAGTCCTATTGTACGATAAAATATTATCACGATAGCCGTATGGCGAATGTCAAACAACGATAATTAGCATTAATTAAGAAGGAAACAAACGAAATGCCGGGACAATAAGGTATAAGCACCGACGGTACCTCCGGGCCGGGCGGCACCTCCGGGCCGGGCGGCACCTCCGGGCCGGGCGGCACCTCCGGGTCGGGCGGCACCTCCGGGCCGGGCGACACCTCCGGGAACCACGGCCGACCGGCGACACCTCCGGACCGGGCGACACCTCCGGGCCGGGCGACACCTCCGGGAACCACGGCCGACCGGCGACACCTCCGGGACGGGCGGCACCTCCGGACGACCGAATGATCTCTCGAAGTCAGACGACCGCCGGCGGTACCTCCGGAACACTTAACGACGATTTACGGCGCCGCAACGAGGAGAGCTACGTAAAAACGTTTCGGACGAAAGTTACTTACTATTCGGCGCTCGCTCGACATGAGGGCGCTGTCCGATTACTAACTCGAAACGTGTCTCTCAAACCCACGTGTCGGAGACATATATTTCGAATTATTACGGATGATACGCAACACGCAAGCTGCGGTGACCGCGATTACGGTACGGAACACTCGCCCGATGCGAAATCACGCGCGCGGCAACCGAGACGGCTCGTTACGGGCGTGATTATACGTGCGGCACCACATAACGGCCGGCGTCAACTTGGGGACGGACGGCACCTCCGGGACGGGCGACACCTCCGGACGACCGAATGATTTCACCAAGTCCGTCGCCCGCCGGCGGTACCTCCGGGGCACTTGACGGCGAGTAGCGCCGCTACGAGGAGATAATGCTACGATACGGAAATACGTTTCGGACAAAGGTTTCGTACTTTTCGACGCTCCGCACGACCGCGCGACACGATTATTACGATATCTGCTAATTCCCGGCTACCACTCGTCGGATGCACAATCTTCGAGATTCTACGACCGATACGTGGACGAATGCAGGCAGGATGCCGATAAGCGAAGCCGGAGTGTTTGCACGAATAAACTTTCCGATGCGTCCTCATTTAATTAATCTCATTTAGCTCGCTCGTTAGCGGTACAAGCGAGAACTCGGGAACAGGCGCAAGTTCGCTCGCGGCGCGTTGCTCTCGCCGGCGAGCGAGAAATTTTTCCAGGCCCGATAGCAGCGTGTTGCCTTGATTAGCGGGCGACACCTCCGGCGGCACGCGCCGCCCGTAACCCAAGTACGATCGCGGCGTGTTGCTTTCGTTGGCGGGCGACACCTCCGGCGGCACGCGCCGCTCGTAACCCAAGTCCGATCGCGGCGTGTTGCATTCGTTCGGCGGCACGCGCCGCCCGTAACCCAAGTCCGATCGCGGCGTGTTGCTTTCGTTGGCGGGCGACACCTCCGGCCGCACAAGCCGCTTTTTCCAAGTTCGCTCGCGGCGTGTTGCTTTCGCCGGGCGAGCGACAAATTCTTCCAAGTTCGCTCGCTTTCGCGGCGTGTTGCTTTCGCCGGGCGAGCGAGAAATTCTTCCAAGTCCGTTCGCGGCGTGTTGCTTTCGCCGGGCGAGCGAGAAATTCTTCCAAGTCCGATCGCGGCGTGTTGCTTTCGTTGGCGGGCGACACCTCGCGCGCCCGCCAAGCCGCTTTTTCCAAGTTCGCTCGCGGCGTGTTGCTTTCGCCGGGCGAGCGACAAATTCTTCCAAGTTCGCGGCGTGTTGCTTTCGCGGCGTTGTGTTGCTTTCGCCGGGCGAGCGAGAAAAATTCTTCCAAGTCCGTTCGCGGCGTGTTGCTTTCGCGCGGGCGAGCGAGAAATTCTTCCAAGTCCGTTCGCGGCGTGTTGCTTTCGCCGGCGAGCGAGAAATTCTTCCAAGTTCCGTTTCGCGGCGTGTTGCTTTCGCCGGCGAGCGAGAAATTTTCCAAGTCCGTTCGCGGCGTGTTGCTTTCGCCGGCGAGCGAGAAAAAGTCCGTTCGCGGCGTGTTGCTTTCGCCGGCGAGCGAGAAATTTCCAAGTCCGTTCGCGGCGTGTTGCTTTCGCCGGCGAGCGAGAAATTTTTCCAAGCTTTCGCCGGCGAGCGAGAAATTTTTCCAAGTCCGCGGCGTGTTGCTTTCGCCGGCGAGCGAGAAATTCATCCAAGTCCGTTCGCGGCGTGTTGCTTTCGCCGTCGAACGTGTGGGGTCTCGTCTAACCGACAAGACGAATCCCCAAGCCGAGGGCTGAGTCTCAACAGATCGCAGCGTGGTAACTGCTCTACCGAGTACAACACCCCGCCAGGTACCTAAGTCGTCTACAGACGATTCCGAGTCTCGACATCGAACTTGCGAAACCCATGATCGACCGTTAGACGCCGTGCCGTCGTAGCGGTGAGATCCCGACGACGGGCGATGGCGCCGTACGGCAAACCGGGCTCGTGCGACGACCGGCCCGAGGACCGGCCGCCTAGTAGTGTCACATTGTTTTGAGCCTTTCGACTCACGAGACTCCTAGAGATATCATTGCCACCTTCGACTAGAGAGGATACGGCCTTAGAGGCGTTCAGGCATAATCCCACGGATGGTAGCTTCGCACCACCGGCCGCTCGACCGAGTGCGTGAACCAAATGTCCGAACCTGCGGTTCCTCTCGTACTGAGCAGGATTACTATCGCAATGACTAGTCATCAGTAGGGTAAAACTAACCTGTCTCACGACGGTCTAAACCCAGCTCACGTTCCCTGTTGGCGGGTGAACAATCCGACGCTTGGCG